TCTAATGTCGTCATACAATCTCTAAATGCCAAAATAAAATTTATCAAAAAATTAAAAATAAAAGCAACATAACTTCACAAATAAAATAATTCATTAATTGTTCATGATAAATCTAGATATATTAGTGTTATCAGATTAAACGAAAATAATTAATTACAAATATAAACACATAAGTAAACTACCAGTTATGTTATTTCTAAAATAGTCGAAGTGAATAATGATATATTCTTTTTTTCTTTTTTTGGAAAAGATGGAATGATTTAATTGTTCAGTCTTTCAAATCAAGAATACAGTCAAAAATTAAAAATTAATTAGATTACATTTTTATAAGAAATATGTCTTATAAAAAAGGAACAAAATATATATACTTTTCTTTTTGGTGATGGTGATGGTATAGTTATTGGCAAATTAATTTAAAAGGCTGACTTCGATTACGAATTTATAGAAGATCTAGATTAAAAAAAATTAATTGAAAAAGGAAATATAAGATAAATTATGTTACTTAATTCTACAACTATTGCTTATACTGATTAGAATGATCAATGTTTGAAGATACTAGACATTGAAAAACGAGAATAACTTTACAGTATTAAATTATCATAAGAATCACATATATTTGCTGTGTAGGAGTTTGACTATGAAATGAATCCATTTGCTTTTGTAAAAGATGAGGAGAAGATATCATTGATAAATATGAGAAACTGCAAGATCGTCAAAGTTATTGATTCTAAGTATGGTGAATGGGATAAGTAGGGTAGTTTGATAAATATCAGAATTTCAAAAGAGTAAACAGAATAGACCTACAGACTCTTTGATGTTTAAAGATACGACACATTTGGTTAGATAGTTGATAAGTTAGTTAAAAAACTCTTTATTACTTAAAAAGATAAATGCAATGCATCTGCTAAGATAAGAGAAATTACGATTAAACTACCTTGAATCTAATTGATATTAAATTATGATTTCTATCAGGTTTAATATATAAAAATAATAATTGAATTTTTACTATTTTAAAATCAAGCTAATAAAGTTTGAAGGGGTTTTGGGGTTTTGGGG